AGTGATACAGGTCTGTAGTTTAGTGCCTCATGTCTGTCTCCCTTTTTAAAAATTGGGACTACATTTGCCATCTTCCATACCTCGGGGAGTTGCCCAGTTTCAAATGATGTGTTGAAGATCTTTGTCAATGGTACACACAATGTCTCTGCTCCCTCTTTAAGGACCCACGGAGAGATGTTGTCTGGTCCCACCGCCTTTGAGGTGTCAAGTTCGCATAGCAGCTTCTTCACCTCCTCCTTGGTTATATGTACCTCATCCAGCACTTGCTGGTGCACCCCCCTGCTCTTATTTCCTGGAGTCCTACTGGTTTCCACTGTAAATACTTCTTTAAATCTTGTGTTGAGCTCCTGACATCCCTCCCGGTCGTTTCTTGTGAATTCCCCATCACCCTTCCTCAGACTGATTACCTGGTCCTTGACTGTTGTTTTCCTCCTGATGTGGCTGTACAACAGCTTCGGGTCAGTCTTGACTTTCGTTGCTATGTCATTTTCGTATTGCCGCTGAGCCTCCCTTCTTATCTGTGCATATTCGTTTCTGGCTCTTCGGCTAATCTCTTTATTTTCCTGAGTTCTCTGTCTTCTGTACCTTTTCCATTCTCTAGTACACCTAGTTTTTGCCTCCCTACACCTTTGGGTGAACCAAGGACTCGTTCTGTTCTTCCCATTATTTCTGTTTCCCTTGGGAACAAATCTCTTCTCTGCCTCCTTGCATTTTGTTGCCACATAGTCCATCATTTCTTGTACTGGTTTTCCTGTCAGTTCCCTCTCCCACTGAATCTTGAAGTTCCTCAAGCCTGAGTAATTCCCCCTTTTGTAGTTTGGTTTTTCCCACCCTATTCCTGCTGCTCTCTCCACTTGGAGCTCAACTATGTAGTCGAAGCACAGAACCACATGATCACTAGCTCCCAGGGGCCTTTCATACATGATATCCTCGATGTCAGAACTACTCAAGGTGAATACAAGGTCCAGTCTTGCTGGTTCATCCTCTCCTCTCTCTCTGGTAGTGTCTCTAACATGTTGATGCATGAGGTTTTCCAGTACCACATCCATCATCTTGGCTCTCCATGTTTCGGGACCCCCATGGAGCTCCAGGTTTTTCCAGTCAATCTCCTTGTGATTGAAATCACCCATAACTAGTAACTTTGCTCCCCCGTGTGCGCTCTCCTGGCCACCTCGGCTAGTGTGTCGACCATTGCTCTGTTGCTCTCATCGTATTCTTCTCTTGGCCTCCTGCAGTTCTGTGGTGGGTTGTACATTACTGCAATTATCACCTTGTGTCCCTCAGACTGGATTGTTCCTACTAAGTAGTCCCTTTCGCCCGTGCCATCCATTCCTTCCATTTTCTCAAACCCCCACTGGTTTTTAATGAGCAGTGCAACTCCTCCCCTCTCCTCCCTCTGTCTTTCCTGAGGATTTGATATCCGGTTGGAAAGATTGAATCTGTTATTATTCTGGTGAGTTTTGTTTCTGTGAGTGCTATTATGTCTGGGGATGTCTCCTTGATTCTTTCGTGCCACTCCTCATACTTATTTGTTATTCCATCTGCATTTGTATACCACACCTTCAACTTCTTTTCTAAGATTGTGGTCTGGGAGGTGTATTGGGGTTGGGGAAGTGGGAGACCTGATAAGGAACTATGGGTGGTTGCTGTGGGGGTGGAGTTTGTAATGCAGTGGGTGGGGGCATTGGATGTGGCATGGGTGTTTTGGTTTAGAGTGTTTGGTTGCACTGGGGTTGACCTGGTTGGAAGGCTTCTATAGGAAGTTGTGAGGGAGGCTGCATTTGATCTTCCTGTGTCTGGGATCTCCTGTCTGTCTTCTCCATCCCCTCTCATTCCTCCTTTCGCCTTTGTACCATCTCTCTCTGTTTCTGCCTTTCTGCTTGTGTTCTGTCGCGGTCGAGATACACCTTCCTGTATGCCGGCATGTCCCTTAACCCTTTGAGGGTTGACAGGCCCTCTCCGAAACTCGTTCTCAGGGTCGGCCAAATTTAAAAAAAAAAAAAAAATTATTTTCTCTTATGAAAAGACGGAGAATCTTTTCCCGATCATAAAGACACCAAAAGTTTGAAATTTGATAGAAAACTTACGGAATTATGCTCTCGCAAATTTAGCGGTCTCGGCGATGTTTACGCATCGGCGATTTTGCCCACTCTGAGCCCCATTTTCGGCCAATTTCACTGTACTAGTCGACAAAAAAACATGAATATTTCGCTAGAACTCCATTTTTTCTATCGAATGGGTGCAGGAAACCACCCATTTATGAAATTCAACTATCCAGTACAGTGGTCAGAATTTAGCAATTTTGCCAATTTCACACAAATTTCAAAAGATGCCAATTTCCGAATAGGGTCCAGAATAAACAAGAAAGACATTCCTGGCACTAAAATGACATTTCCTCTAGTCATTAGTCACGTCTCAAGGCCCCTCTTATATTCTTTTGCTTTCCACTTTGAATTTTTATTCTCACAAAAATATAAGATTTACTGTTATGCAGACTACTGCATTAGTGTAAAAAATGGTTTTAATATTATTGGTGCACTTGTGAAAGAATATTAGACTCACCAGTTGACGTGTATTGCACGCTTGGCACGATTTGTTTACTTTTGAAGTTTGATAAAAATCGAACATTTCTGCTACTTTGAGCTCAATTTCAAGGCACCTTTCATTGTAAAACCAGTCAAAATCATCTCAATTTCTGTAATATGTCTTCCATTCTATAAAATGAGACCAAGAAAACTAGAATACAACAATAAATACCATACGAAAATACACTGCAAAGTCGCTGATTTATTCCAAAAAATGGTCAAAGTTTTTTTTTTCTCATTATGCACTGTGTGCTGCAGGATTTTTTTTAGACTGTGCACACTGACCACATAGACCCATTCTTTCATATGAAGGCCTACCAGCTTTCTCCCACTAGATTTGAGGCCGCTAGAATTTATGCGTACTAGTACGACCAAAACCCTCAAAGGGTTAATCGTGCTTTCTCCTGCAGGATCCTGTTCAGAGTCGATTCTGCCTTGAAGGTCACTTTCACTGGCCGGGTTCTTTTTTTTACGTACCCCCCTATTCTCCGAAAATTTTCCAGCTGGGTCATGTCGTCTTCTCCTATTGCTTTCATGATTCTTTCAATTGCTTTTTTTCCCCCTTGTTTTCTGGCTTCATATGTTTCCCCTTCAACTTCCTGGAGCCCATACACAAAGACTGACCTCACCCTTTCATTCTCCCACTGCATATCCCTGTGTATCCTCTCATTCAATTTGATTTCCTCCATTGCAGCTTTCCTTTCTTCAGTTTCACTAGCTAATGTACTTGGGCTCAGTGGCCTATCATTTTCCCTTCTCGGCTTTCCCTGGGCTCTGCTGTGGTCTGTTAGGGCCTCCACATGTAGCTTAGGTCTTTCATTTACTACATTCTCCACTGATTGAGCTTCTACATACTGTTTTGCTCCTTCTTTCCCTACAGTCCCCTTATTTGTGACTGAGGTAGCAGTCTCTGTTGTCAATCCCAAAATGTTCTTTAGTTCTTTAGGCTGTTTCAGATTTTTCAGATTTTTCAGTTCCTCTTCTAAACTCTGTATCCTGGCCTCTGCTGCTTTGACTTGCACCTCCCACTTCCTGCTTTCCATGTCTATCCTCTCTTCCATTCTCATGCTAAGTTCTTCTAGTTTCTTTTCCCATTCATGTTCCCTTTTTATGAGCTCTGCTGCCCAATCTTCAGTAGTAGCAATTTCCCTATTTTTGCCGGTGTTAAAGAGTAAAAAATCACTTTCAGCACCCAAATTTGGTTTGGGTCAAATTATGTTTTCCCAAAATTTTCCCAAAATTTGTTTTAAAAAAACCATTTTTTACATTAATCAGAAAGTCTGTATAAAGAAATCTTCTGAAGTTTGGGAACATTTATGAAACCTAGGGGAATCTTTTTTCGGGAAAAATTTTTCCCCCCCACAGGGGTTCATCAGCCCCAATACAAAGTAGAAAGGCGAAAGGAGGGGAGTATTTTGAGGGAAATCAGCCCCCTCACCTGGAATCGATGTGTACAGTCCTCAATTCAGTCCCCTCAGTTCTACAAGATTTATGGACTGAACACATCGACTCCAGGCTGAGGGGCTGAAATTTCCTCAAACTCCTCCTCCCTTTCCTTTTTAAATTTTTTATTGGGCCCGAAGAAGCCACTTGGGGGGCAAAAAGTTTCCTGAAAAAAGAAAAACCCAATGTTGCATAAGTGGCTCAATCTTCCCAAATTTCGGTTTTTTTTAAAAACCCTTCCTCACAGTAAATCTTTTATTTATTTTTTGTGAATTAAAAATTTTAAAATCAAAAGCAATGTAATTTAAGATGCCCCGGGATGTGACTAGGGAACAGAGAAAATGTTTTTTTAGTGCCAGGGAAAGTTTGCATTGTTTATTCCCGGAAACCCCATTTTGAAAATTTGCCTTACTTTTAATTTTGTAAAGAAATTGGGCCCAAAATTAAAACCCAATTTCTGATCACTATATTTGGGTAGTTCAAATAGGTAAATGAGCTGTTTCTTGTACTCAATTGATAGAAAAAAGGAGTGCTAGTGAAATAGCTGTGAATATCGTCAACTGGAAAAATGAAATTGGCATAAAATAGGGCTCAAAATGGGTGAAATCGCTGATGTGTAAATATTGCTGAGATGGCAAATTTGTGAGAGCATAATTCCATAAGTTTTCCATCAAATTTCCTACTTTTGGTTTCATTACCATAGGAAAAAGATTATCATTTCATCAGATTTTTTTTTTTTTTTTGAAAATTCAACAGCACTGAGAGCAAGTTTGCAAGCAGGGGTTGTAAAAGTGAAAGTGAAACGGTTAATGGGCTTTTTACCTCTATTCATTAAGTTGACTTTCTCCCTCTTGCCTTTAGCATGCTGCAACTTTTTTTCTGTCACATCAAACCTGTAACATTGTGCATTGTGATGGATGATGGAGGTTCATACAGCAAATAGTAATTTACTGCAATCTTTCCCGCTGGCAGAGGAGCCTGAGCAACCCAAGAATCTGCGAGTGGTTGAGACACACAGTCGTCGAGTGAAACTCTCATGGATGGCTCCGTACAGTGGTAACTCACCCATCCAGAACTACCTCATCCAGTATAAGTTAGCCTCTGGTCAGTATCATGCTAATAGGCAAATAACAATTTTAATTAGCCAAATTAATTTTCAATAATGAGCCTATGTCTATAATTTATGTATACTGGGCCTATAATGAGAATTGTGTACAGGATAGCAAACCATACCAATCTCCTCCATATTTATTTGAAAAAAAATACTGTACATTCATATTTATACTAAGTTAATGCTAACCCTCATCTAGTACAGCCTCTCCTCACTTAACGATGTACTCGTTTACTGATGACTTGGACTTACAACGGGCTCTCTGACCAGTATGCATACCTAAATAATGTATATTAGAGCTGATTTCCACTATTCTGTTTATTACAATATACAGTATACTACTGTATAACATTTAAAATTATGCTAAAAATGTTTTAAATGGTTCAAAGGTGACATTAAAGCAATATCAAAGATGGTTGACACAAACTCACTACCATTATAGTATGCTGCTCTGTTGCGACAAATTTGTTTACCGACATGGTTTTAGGAAAGGAACTACATCAATAAGTGAGGAGAGGCTGTACTGGACTGTGTTAATGCTGTTTTTATTCATTACTTACAATAAGCATGAGTTAATTGTTTGCTAATATCTTGTTGATAAAAGACCATAATTATGCACAACATTTTGGTCATTAACTGCATACTTTAATTGTTAAAGAAATGTGTATTGACAGAACCATGGCCAGGCGTGCCAGAAAAGTTGAGTGTTCCCGGGGACCAGACAGAAGGTATCATCCATGAGTTGACTCCTGCCACGGCTTATCACTTACGAGTTACTGCTCAGAACACACTAGGGCTGGGCACCCCCTCAGAAGTTATACAGGCGGCCACTGATGAGGAAGGTGAGTGTTGTAAATATAAAAAAAAGGAATAACTAAATTAACCACTTCGCCATCCATGCCATAGTACTACGGGTTTGAGGTCACTGTGAGCTCAACACACTCAGATAAGCTGTGAGTGGTAAAAAAAAAAATATATATATATATAATATTTTATATATATATATATATATATATATATATATATATTTTATATATATTATATATATAATATATATATTATTATATATATATATATTATTTTTATATATATATTTATATATTATTATATATTATATATTTTGGGGAGTAGTTGGTAACAGCAACCACCAGGGAGGTACTACCCTCCCGCCAAGTGATGTAAAACGAAAGCCTGTGATTGTTTTCATATGGTAGGATTGCTGATGTTTTTTTGTCTGTCTCATAAATGCAAGATTACAGGCATTCTTGCTACTTCTACTTACACTTGGGCACACTACACATACATGTACACATTATTTTACACACTATCTGATTTCTTGATGTTATCTTAATATTCTTGGTCTTATTATTTTCCTTTTATATCCATTGGGGAAAAATGGAATAAGATATTTTCCTCGTAACAAACTGTTGTTAAAAGTCAACTAAAATGCCGGGAACAATGGCTAGTAAACCCTTTTCCTTAAAGATTACTAAAAAGAAAAGAAAAGAAAATTGTCAAAGTTGGGTAGTCGAAATGGCATGGATGTGTGCAGATGATAAGAAAGAGATGATTGTGGATGTTATGAAGAGAAAAAAGCTGGATGCCCTGGCTTTAAGTGAAACAAAGCTGAAGGGGTGGGAGAGTTCAGTGGAGAGGAATAAATGGGTTTAGGTCAGGGGTTTCAAATAGAGTTAGAGCTAAAGAAGGAGTAGCAATAATGTTGAAGGATAAGCTATGGCAGGAAAAGAGGACTATAAATGTATTAATTCAAGGATTATGTGGAGTAAAATAAAGATTGGATGTGAAAAGTGGGTTTTAATAAGCGTGTATGCACCGGGAGAAGAGAGAAGTGTAGAGGAGAGAGAGAAAATTTTGGGAAATGTTGAGGTGAATACGGGGGGGAGTTTTGAATCAAGTTGAGAGTAATGGTGGTTGGGGATTTCAAGCTAAAGTGGGTAAAAAATGTTATGGAGGAGTATAGGTAAATTTGGGGTGCCAGGGGTAAATGTAAATGGGGAGCCTTTAATTGAGCTATGTGTAGAAAGAAATTTGGTTTAATAAGTAATACATATTTTATGAAAAAGAGCATAAATAAATACATACAAGGTATGATTTTGCACTTTAATGAAAGTAAGTTTATTAGATTATGTATTGGTGGATAAAAGGTTGATGGGTAGGCTCCAGGATGTACATTTTTATAGAGGGGCAACTGATATATCGGATCATTATTTAGTTGTACTACAGTTAGAGTAAGAGGTAGATGGGAAAAGGGGGAAGGTGGCAACAACAAGTAAGAGGGAGGTGAAAGTGTTAAAACTAAGGGAGGAGGAAGTTCGGGTGAGATATAAAGCGACTATTGGCAGAAAGGTGGCTAGTGCAAAGATGAGTAGTGGGGGGGTTGAAGAGGTTGGAATCGTTTTAAAAAAGCAGTATTAGAATGTGGGGAGAAGCTTGTGGTTATAGGAGGGGGGGGCAGGAGGAAAGAGGAGTGATTGGTGAAAATGATGAAGTAAAGGGTGTGATAAATGAGAAAAGGTAGCTTATGAGAGTTTTTACAAAGCAGAAGTGTTTTTAAAAAGAGCAAGTATATGGAGAGTAACAGAAAGGTGAAGAGAGTGGTGAGAGAGTGCAAAAGGAGAGCGATAAATGAGTGGGAGAGGCACTGTCAAGAAATTTTAATGAAAATAAGAAAAAATTTGGAGTGAGTTAAACAAGTTAAAAAGCCTAGGGAAAGTATGGATTTGTCAGTTAAAAACAGAGTAGGGGAGTTAGTAGATGGGGAGAGGAGGTATTAGGTAGATGGCGAGAATATTTTGAGGAACTTTTAAATGTTGGGGAAGAAAGGGGGGCGGTTTTAATTTCATGCACTGGCCAGGGAGGTATACCATCTTTTAGGAGTGAAGAAGAGCAGAATGTAAGTGTGGGGGAGGTACGTGAGGCATTACGTAGAATGAAAGGGGGTAAAGCAGCTGGAACTGAGGGGATCATGACAGAAATGTTAAAAGCAGGGGGGGAAATTTATATTGTTGGAGTGGTTGGTACTTTTGTTTAATAAATGTAGAAAGAGGGGAAGGTACCTAGGGATTGGTGGAGAGCATGTATAGTCCCTTTATATAAAGGGAAAGGGACAAAAGAGATTGTAAAAAATTATAGGGAATAAGTTTACTGAGTAACCCAGGAAAAGTGTACGGTAGGGTTTATAATTGAAAGAATTAGAGGTAAGACAAAATGTAGGATTGCGGATGAGCAGGGAGGCTTCAGAGTGGGTAGGGATGTGTAGATCAAGTGTTTACATTTAAGCATATATGTGAACAGTATTTAGATAAAGTAGGGAAGTTTTTATTGCATTTAAATGGATTTAGAAAAGGCATATGATAGTGGATAGAGGAGCAATGTGGCAGATGTTGCAAGTATATGGAATAGGTGGTAAGTTACTAAATGCTGTAAAGAGCTTTTATGAGGATAGTGAGGCTCAGGTTAGGGTGTGTAGAAGAGAGGGAGATTACTTCCTGGTAAAAGTAGGTCTTAGACAGGGATGTGTAATGTCACCATGGTTGTTTAATATATTTATAGATGGGGTTGTAAAAGAAGTAAATGCTAGGGTGTTCGGGAGAGGGGTGGGATTAAATTATATAACAACTAACAACTATATAACAACTAACCATCTCAGACCACTAATTACCCAACAAAAGGCTGCAGTTAGAATGATAACAAATTCTCACTACAGGCAGCACACTCCACCAATATTCAAAACACTCAACCTACTCACCATACAAAACATCCATACTTATTATTGCACTTATTACATACATTGAACACTTAACTCTGATATTAACCCTCCCCTCAAACATCTCCTTGCCAACCTCAACAGAACACATGACCATAATACAAGGCACAGATCACTCTTTGATGTTCCTCGTGTCCATCTCATGCTATGCAAAACTCAATGCACAAAAAAGGCCCTAAAACTGGAATTCATTACCTTTAAATATAAAGAAAACACTACCTGTTCATAAATTCAAGTCTCTTCTCAAAGTCACTTACTCACTCAAAACCAAATAAATACTGAATAACCCGAAAACCCTATAAATTGTATATTTCCCAAATGTTATCACAATTATATCACACAAATGTTAAAACCTAACTTTGTTATTTTTTTTTAAATACACTACCTAACAGAATACTCCATTCTACTGAATGAACAGCAATGCATGCAACCATATGACCTGTCTTTGTAATATTTGTATTTTATAGTTATCTGTTTACAATAATGTCTTATCACTGATTTCATCATTGCTTAGTTAATCTTAAGTTAATGTTAAGCCAGGATGTAATGCTATGCATATAAGTGGCTTTGGCATGCTGCTCTTACCTGTATTTTTTGTACCTCTGTTTGTATGCTAAAATTTCTAAATAAATAAATAAATAAATGGGAAATCAGATTCAAAATGGGAATTGACACAGTTACTTTTTGCTGATGATACTGTGCTTATGGGAGATTCTAAAGAAAAATTGCAAAGGTTATGGATGAGTTTGAGAATGTGTGTAAAGGTAGAAAGTTGAAAGTGAACATAGAAAAGAGTAAGGTGATGAGGGTATCAAATGATTTAGATAAAGAAAAATTGGATATCAAATTGGGGAGGAGGAGTATGGAAGAAGTGAATGTTTTCAGATACTTGGGAGTTGACATGTCGGCAGATGAATTTATGATTTGGATGAGGTAATCATAGAATTGATGAGGGAAAAAAAAAGGGTAGTGGTGCATTGAGGTTATGTGGAGTCAAAAAATGTTATCTATGGAGGCAAGAAGGGAATGTATGAAATAATTTACCAACACTTTTATAGGATTGAAATTTGGGGGGAAAATGCAGCAGCGGGAGACGTTGGGGGCAAAGGGGCCGAAGGGAAATGTGTGGTGTAAATATTATGGCAAAAAATTTCGGAGGTGGGAAAATTTAAGAAGGTTGGAGTTAAATAAAAATTAGTAAGGGGGCAGAAGGGGTTGTTGAGGGGTTTTGGTCATTTAGAGAGAAGGATCAAAGTAAAGACGGAAACATATAAATCTTGGGAAGGAAGGAGGGTAGGGGTCGTCCTCGAAAGGGTTGGAAAGGGGGGGTAAAGGGGGTTTTGGGGGCGGGGGGTTTGGGCTTCCGCAAGCGTGCATGAGCGTGTTAGATAGGAGTAAAATGGAGCGTTGATTTTGGGAAACCACAATCTTTGGGTGTGAGCGGGGTAATATTTAATGAAGGGATTCAGGGAAACCGTTTTTTTTAATAAGTCGGACTTGATCCTGGAAAGGGAAGTACAATCCGGGGCATTTTAAAGGGGGGTTTGGGATATGGCAGTTTGGGGATATTTGTGTATCTTTATACGTATATGCTCTAAACTTTTTGTATCTGAGCACCTCTGCAAAAGAAAGTGATAATTTTGGCGTGGGTAAAAGTGTAATGTGATAAAAAGTATTTTCTTTTTTGGGGATTTTCTTTCTTTTTGGGGTCCCCTGCTTGGGTGGGGCGGCCCGCCCTTTTAAAAAAAAAAAATTATATACAGGGACCCCCCATAACGGGCTCGATAGGTTTTTTTTCCGCTAACGATTACTTTTATCGCAAATTTTCCCCGCAACCTTTTTAAAAACCCCCGCAACCGTTTTCGCCGGAACCGTCCAATGTCCCTCAGCCACCCCAAAATTTGCCGCTCCGCCCATTGTTTACCACCGCCCCCGGGTAACATCCAAGCTTTACACCAAAATTTTTTTCGTTTTATTCAGATTTTCGGTGCTGTTTCTGGAAAATTCCCATGGGCCCCAAGAAACTCAGTGCAACCCTACCCTCAAAGGGTAAGAATTACATAGAGATAAGAAAAATAATTGAAAGTAAAATGGAGTGCGTA